GCGGTGTTGACGCAGAAGACGTCTTGAAAGGCGAACGATATGTCATAGGAGTGATCCGACAGAGCTCAAGTGAAGGAGAAAAGTGATAACTGGATGAGAATGCGACAGTGACTGATAAAGGATAAAGTCTTCGCCGTTGATCAATCCCTTTGTGGGATGCGGCACGCATTCTACTTCCATTCAGAATCGTAGTGGCTTATTGAATGCGATGTGGCCTATACAATGACCGATGTACAAGTCAGTGTGCTTATCCTCCCAGTCGAATACCAAATTACCGTCCCCGGAAGGCAGAATGCTTGATTATTTCGAGACCAGGATTTGATCCTCAGACCGTGCGCGTGGTAAGCGTGCCTTACCAGTCCACCTACTTGCCTCCTGCCATATGTACCAATAATATATACTAATGGACCATATTTAGCATCATTCTCCATCGGCGCTTCGAGTTCGCACATGATGAGTTTTACCCCCCCCCCCTCCAAGTGTCCCAGGATTTGTTACCCTGTTGTTTCGAATTTACTACAGCTAGCAAAGAGCTGACTGGATGGCCACATTCCGTGAGATTCAGACGTAGAGCTGGTGTAGGTATTCATGTAACCCGGTGTTCATGTGGCATTTTTTGCCATGCAATATTCGTTGCAATGTGCAGAAGCGTAATAACAACTACGTTTTGCCATGCATGAGAATTTATTCAGTTCATTCTCTGCAGAAACGGCTTGAGAAGCTCCGCTCCAAAGCGGTGGAGAACTTCATCGATAGAAAGGGAAATCTTCTTGATCAAAGCTGTTGTCTTCTTGACAAACCCCTGAAAAGCATCTTACAACTAGATGAAGAGTCAGTGTTGACTTTAAGGCTGATTTACCTGTCTTCTCGCATATCCAGTCCAAATATTTGCGCACATTCAGTAAATGAATCGTATGCTGTATCAGTTACATATGGTGGTAGATTAGCGATTTTCGTATTGTTGAAATCTGTAAATGAGTGAATCATGACTCATTTATAGCACCAGAACATCCATTCTTAATATCGCATACTACCTTACTATATATAAGCCGCTAAGTTTGTCTGTTGGTGTGTGTGTGTGTGTGTGTGTGTGTGTGTGTGTGTGTGTGTGTGTGTGTGTGTGTGTGTGTGTGTGTGTGTGTGTGTGTGTGTGTGTGTGTGTGTGTGTGTGTGATGTGTTGATCCGGAAAAAAAATTCATTAACTTCCTTTAAAAGAGCGATGTCTGAGCGCCCTCAGACTGATAAATTGATGTATGGGGGCAGGATGAGGGATCATGTTTGGTGGTGGGTGACAGCGCCGTGATAACAGCTTGGCTAAATACCACGAGGAGCTTTTAGAAAACAGTGATGTTAACCTTAATTCATAACACCGGCCAGGAGCAACGCACCGGCGTTGATCCAAAGCATCTAAGATAGGGGGCAGGATGGGAACATTATTGGTGGGTGGCAGGAAGTGATAACAGCTGATAAGATACCACGAGGAGCCTTAGAAGGAGTGAGTTACCTAATTCATAACACCGGCCAGAGCAACGACCGGACGTTGGATCCAAGAAGTTAGATCAGGATCAGGATGGGACAATTATTATTGGGTGGCAAGACGGCAGAGGACGCCCCGAAGTTCATAGCACGAGTTGTAGCAGCACTGGGGGAACTGCTTCCGGCAAGTCATTCAGAAGGGGTTACAGAGCATTCGTGAAGGGATATAAGTTGTATATAGTGTGAGAAAAGGGCTGATAAGCACCAGTACCTGTTCGCATCCTTACTGCTCAGCCTGAACTTGAGCACCGGTGCCCACGAAACAATGGGCAGAGGCTTATGAGTCAACTTATTCCATCCCTTAGCGATAGGGTTATGACTGATTCGACCGCTAAACACTCGAGAGTCGACAAAAATTAAAAGCTTTGGAAGCTGCTTAACGAAAGTACTAGGATGTGAGAATATATCACTATGGTGTCCATGTTATTACCATCGAAATTCTTTCAACCGCTAAGCTGTCCTATTTCCAACGAATGGTGAGTGCTCTTTAGAAATGTGATAAGCACCAGACATTAGCAAATGTTCATTAAACAGGAGAAACATAATGAAATGGGCCGTATTTCAAAAAATGGCGCTCGGGCCCAGTGTTCGGGGTCAGCACAGGAATCCTGTCAGCGATTAGTACCATTACCATAGATTCAACCATGCGCGCAGTAGTGCGCGTCAGCCAAGCTGGTTATATATATTTCGCTACATCTGAAGATCTATGTCACACTTAATAGTGAGGAACAACAAAAGGGCACGCTCTTTAGCAACCGCGGAGTTCGCATCTGATTCGGCAAAGAGCGTGTAGGGGAGATATGGTCTTGAGGAGAGCGTGTCGTCGCGTGCACGACAATTTGCTGACACATGTTTTACAATGGAGCGCACGCTAGCGATAAACTCACTGCACTATTGAATTAGATTGAGCGTCCAATTAAGAAACTGGTAGAACAGTTCCAGAGCACTCCAGGCACCGAAAACTCTGTATTAGGACAGTATGGTTCCCCAATGGGAAGAGAGAGGCAGGGCCCAACTTGCCGCATGCTCCGCCCATTCCACGTTTACCACCCTTCTCTCATTCGAAAACAGTTGATAAGTGCTGATAGCGAGTCCCATGTCAGAAGAGAAGGATCATCGAGCTTACAGCGCCGATCCCAGCAACGGTGCTACATGAGTTCCGAGATTTGATGGAGGATAATCTGCAGGAACAGGAACATTCGTGAGAGACATCTCATAGCTTACAAGATCCGTTAAAGGGCTTCTGGAGGATAAGGTCACCATATTCACAGGACGGGTTACTGTAACTGTCTTAGTTGGTTACAAAGGTGATGAGGGGATTTGACGAGAATATTAACCCATTTGTGTAACGGCTTTTTCTCCCTTATCCCGGCCCGTTGGCGCACGCCTTATTTGCCGCTGTGACTTGTGATGAATAAATAGTATAAATATTGTATGTGCATTATATTGTGAGTATATCGTATTATACGCCACTCCTATGTCCATACATGTAATAAAGAACACTGTTACGTGAAAAAAGGGATGATCCGAAAAAATGCCGTACTAGCCAAAAAGCTTGATAAAAGCAGGGAGAATTGAGGATGAGGCGTAATGTGCTCAGAACTGCTCACTTATACTGTTTTGCAATTATACAGCTGTTTCAGCAGAGTTTAGGTTTTACTGGTTTCAAAAAAATAGTCAATGGAGAGACTACATGGGATTTTCTCACAAAAAATGTCACTTCGCTCTGCTTCTCCTACATACATATTTTATTCCACCTCGGAAATATACCTACATCCTAGAATCATCGTCTTCATGCAGGGTCGTGTCGTACCTCCAACACGGAGGAATATTGTGCCTTACAGCAGGCGCTGTATGGTTCCTTTCCCAACCAAGCGGCCTCCCCAGCGCCTGACCAACGCCATTTGTGCAATATGCCGCCCACGCCCACAGATGGTCTCACAGTCACATCGAGTAAGTACTTCTATCACCTCATTCATGGAGAACAGTCGATTTGAAGCGTTGCTACATGAATGTTTTAATACATGTGTGTAACCGTAACACATAATGCGCGTGAGACGGGAAAGACCAGGATGTTGAGAATTAGAATTGTTGAGTTTTTGAAAGAATTTCTGGAGAGTTATGCCGCAGTGTCTGCAAACGGGTTGGGTCAAAATACAGTGTGAGGAACATCTGTCGGTGGTAAACTCTGTAGGATTCCCTGTGTGATGCACGTGACAGTGTGAGCAGCCAGCTGCTAAAAATATGAGATGTTCGAAGAGAAACTCGTTCAAAGTATTCATAACGAAAATTTGGTCCGCCCTAATCGAGATCTTTGCAACTTACGCTCTGTCACAAGAATTGCCACGAGACATCACACCCAACTGTATGAATCTGTTATCACCGTTAGTTTGAATGAGCGCACCTCCACTGTCTCCCTCAAGATATAAATAACATCCGCAACAATTCAGTTGAATGCACTCATTATTTTCAAAGAATTTACTCACGGGACATATTCCTGCTTTTAGAGGCAATAACACATCAATAACCTTGTTCCGTGTTTGCAGGAATGTAACATTCAGCTTCTGTAAACCAATAGGATCCTGGGACTTATCGTTTTCATTGGCTGAAATAATTCTTGCAAAGATTCCAAGCCGTTATTCATAAAGTGGTCTTCCAAAGAAAAAAGTAAGACTCCCGAAACAGAACCATAAAAAACCACACTCATACAGGCGAAACTTACGACCCCTCGCGCCTCCTCCCACCACAGTGAGATCAAAGTCGATTGCTTGGTTTCTTGTCGGCATACAAATCGGTGTTGCCTCGGACTCAGAAACATTTTCGTCGAGTTCTATTATTGCTATGTCGTTTTCATGAGTGCAGCCATCGTACTGCTCGTGATAATGCACCTTAGTCAAAAACGTGATTGGGCTGCTCAACAAATTCTATTGAATCAGAAGGAGCGAATCGTCTGAGCCGCGTCCCATTAGAATTACTCTCCAACGTGCAGCTGTGTTCTAGCTGAGTAGACGTACGCGACCGTATAGCAGCTTTCCCAGCGTCTGGGAAAATGGCATGTCGATCTTGCGTGTATGTATGTAAAGTATTAATTTATGAGGTGGCCACTGGTAGATATGCGGCGAATAGAGGACTGAAACGCTATTTTCGTGAAGTTGACGTTTCCCCGTATAACTGCATCACACATCATCACACACATGAGAGCACAATTCTGTGCTTGC